TGCGCCCCTACCAGTGCAAACTGCCTCTTACCTGTTGGTAACAAGGGAGAACAGAACACCCAAGAGCCCAACAGGTGGCCGAAAAACCGAAAAGGTAAAACGGACCAGCAGAGGCCGACCCCGAGGAGCCTGTGGAAGGTGGCCCCAAGCCCCAAGGGCAGTACTTACAGGGCACCTAAGGAAGGCAGCCCTAGGCGCATGCAGCCAGAGTACTGAAGACAACTCCTGGCTCTCGCATCCACAAAAACAAACACCACACGCAAAGCACAGTGCCGTAGCAACACTGGAGCCAGAGCACACAACCTTCGCCTATAGCATCAGCCTCAAGAACTGAGGTGTGGGTAACCGGTGTGGAGGGTCTGGGGCTCCCCCTTCCCCCTCCCAGGGAGGGGCGAAGGGGGAGCCCCGCTGTCTGCTCCGCTGCGCAGACAGCGGAGCAGCGATATGTGACGTCACACTAGTTTGCTTGTTTTCTGTTGGGGTTTTCTATCCACCAGTTCGGCTTATGGTAGCAATTTTAACCAGAATAGGGGTTTGTTTTGAGGTGCTTATCTTTCTGGGTGCCTGTTCCAGTCGATGGCAGACATAGAATGCTTCCAGCCACACGGAGGTTTCTATAGGCCATTGCTCCCCTTGCCTCTCTGAGGGGGCCTGGTTCTGGCCGTGGTCCCCAGTAGGCCTAAGAACTCCATACACATGATTGATGCCAAAGTCTGACATTAGCATATCAGCCTGGGAAAGCTCCAGGGAGCCGACGAGGCTCCCCCCAGAAAAGAACTTTTGCATACTGTATCAACATTTTTAAACAAAAATCACTCATAAAGCCATATATATAGAATTCACATATTTTTATATATACAGCTTTGCTATTCAAATGCATACATTGACGAGACACCCATGAATGCTAAGACTAAGGGCTCGTCAGAGAAAGAGGAAGTTTGCTAACTGTTATCCATGTAACTGTTATCATTTTTTTTGTCTATAAATTTTGCAAGTATTTACCTACTTAAAATTTTCTTAGATTAAGGACCTGCCCGAAACGCTGCGCGTACTAGTGGCTTTACAAGACTGTAATTACCATATTATGTATCCTCACATTCCCAATGTACCTTCTTGTATATGCATAAATAAATAAATAAATAAATAAAATAAACACAAAACTGACCATACTTTGAAAATATTACATATCGGTAAAGCTTTGAATATAATGAAACACCCTTTTCAAGAAGGCTGTTAATAGCTTCCTGGTCCTTACAAGCTGATAAAGCTAAGCCTAAAGATCATGCTAAACCTCTAATACAAGGTGACCTGTAGGGAGCCAGGACCATAATCTAGCTCTCTATGGTTGGAATGCTTAACCCTTTAACTGCGCGGCCTATAAATATGACATCCCCCAGTGCGCAGGAAATGAAACCTTGGGAAAAAATTATTTTTTCTTCGGAAAGTGTCAAAAACCCCTCCCTGTATATGGGTATAGCAACGCAAGTTCGAAATTGTACTTACTTTGGCTGCTATGGGGTCCGAAAGGTGGGCCGTGACGTCATAATTCCTTGTGCACCAGAGCAGTATGCTCTCGGGGTCGGTGGGGCGCCCGGGGCAGGGCGCGCGAGTTGCCGCAAATATATTTTTGCACATTTTTTGCGCACTGTTCCAAATACATTTTAATTGTTTTTACATGCTAATCCTATGTATAATGAACACATACACTATATTATGGCAGTAAAACATCCGTACTGTCCGAAGACAGTGTTACGTGCATGACACTTGTGTACACATATGTTGCACATATTTACCATGTATCATGCTAATTTATGTATATATACAATCTATTTACAGACTATACACTGTCACACACTATATACATTCACCATCAACACATTCAGAACACCGGGAGTGAGAGCAGTCACACCCAGCCAGCCCTCCCTCACTCCTCCAACATTGTATTCGCCAACATTGCTCCTCCAAATCATAGTTATTCACACGAATGTTTCAAGTTCATTTATGTATATTTACAACATATGTACACACTCTACACTGTCACACACTATATACATTCACCATCAACACACTCAGAACACCGCGAGTGTGAGCAGCCACACCCAGCCAGCCCTCCCTCACTCCCAACATCTTACTCGCCAACATTGCTCCTCCCACCATACTGTTATTGTATTTATTACACAATTTACACATGTTATATATACCTATCTACATGTTTTTTTACCAGAACTATGCAAGTAAGCCGGTATTGTGTCCAAACAATACAGTGGCCACCATACACTGCATGACAAATCACACAGCAGACAGCAGACGACGCCACGATTACGACGTCACCTCCATCACCAAAATAGCTCCTCACAACATACTCCTGGTGCTGTTATTACACTATTCCACACACACTGTATATACCTATGTACATGTGTGTTCTCCATAGCGAAAAACGAAGCTAGTATGGTGAGCAAAACAAGAGTTAATGCCACACAGTGAGGCTACCTCAATTCTCTCCCTTCCTCACCAAAATTCCTCCTTCCTATGCACAACCCTCATTATAACCACAATCCTGGTCACTAATACCTGTAAATGAATAACTGACCACAAGTTTATTTTGAAAAGGAACCTAAAAAGTAGTTTGAAGGTTCCTACATGGACGAAATAATGCTGTGGTGCTGTGGCTAGCACTGTGAACATCGTGAACAGCATTGAATCACTGATATTTGAACATTGTACCCAGTCATTATCATACTCGGGCTCTTCTATAATACTATCATGGCTAAATAAAACAGATTATATATATATTTTGACAATATTAGGAGATGCTGTGGTCACACGCTGAACAGCAGTGCTGTGCACTCATGCTGCGAGCGCCAGCCTTGGTTGCTCACTCACTACTGAGGCTCTGGCACCCGGCAATGTGGACCGGACCATGATTTTTTTTAAAGATGACGTCTGTTTAGAAGAGCCCTGAGGAAGCTGATGTGAACCCCATGTAGCCGCGGGAGTTTTGAATGGAACGTGAAAAATAAAAACACCCAGAGGCGCGTTGCGCACCTGAAGCCTGGGCCTGCAGGCGCGTTGCGCAATTAAAGGGTTAAAGATCAGAGATTTGTCCAAAACTGAGGAAACCCACATAATATGTTGGTGAAATAACCATACCACCACTTGAAAGAAATTAAGCTGCACATAGTTGCCCGCCCAGAAAAGTCTGTGTTGAACCCCCCCACCCAACAGGAAAGGAGGGGAAAACAGAGTGTGGATAAAAGGCACTCTGCAGCTCTACTTAAGAATGTTTCCTTACATGAACACCTAATTTTAGGAAGAACCCTTCAGTAGCTTCCAAGTTGCTTAGTCATAACACACTTCAGATAGGAGAACATTACCAAAAAGAACACAAAAGATCACCAGAGCATCCAATAAAACAGCTAGAGGCAAACATTCAATTGGGCCACCCAAAATCCAGAGCCCAATTATTCATTTTGGACTTATTAGCAAAGAATACTGCCAAAACTACAAACTTCTAGATTAGAGGTGTTCTTATGTATCAATATCAGAGGTTTCAACCTATTTTTGAAGTACAGATATCTTAAAAAAAAAAATCATGCTTCTAGCACAGAACATTAATCCTATCAAAACGATCAACAGAAACCAAAGCCCACAAAAAAGATGTCTTAAACAAGGAACCTTTAAACTTAAAGTGAGAAGACAAATAACATGAAAACACGACCTAATGGCCAAGAGATTCAAGAGAAGCATGAACCAGCTAGAGGTGAAAGAAAACCAAGAAACAATTTAAAAACAGAGGGAGATGAGGTATGCAAGCAGCAGAGGCTCCGACAAAGTTGAACTGTATGAGATGAAAGGACATCAAAGTATTGGACATCAAATGATAATCCAGAACTAAGAAAGAAAGGACAAACTATCGCTGATGAAACAAGATAAATGCCAGAAGACAAATTAATGATGGAAGGCCAGGTATGCAGTCTCATTGATGTTTCAATGAATGAGACAAATGTGAAAGTAAAATACCCATATAAAGAATGGAAAGTGGAAAGGGTAGAACTGGCCACATGTTGAGCGACAAGAATGACACCACTCACAAAGGTCTACAAACAAGCCAACACAGGGAGGAGCAGCTAGACCGAGGAAACAGGAAGAAGAATGACCAACGACTGCAGTCTAGATAAAGTGACAACTATGCAAGCCTTGTGATCTAGAAATGGAACAACACTGGCCAGATATCAATTCAATCCTGAGGCAAACAAGTCCACTTGTAGATGGCAGAAACATCTTACAATTCTAGCAGGAGGTGGCTGCATCTGCCTTCCACTCCACTAAAATCAGCTGAAAATGGGAGAGGTTGTCAGCTTTGACACATGCTGATTATGGACTGCACTAAGGAATAAACTCCAAGAAACCAGAAAAGAAGCTTTACTCAAAGACTTCACTCCCATATGAAGAGGCAATACATAGAAGGCCCACTATTCAGACAATGGACCATCATGATGCAATCCGAGCAAAGACGGAGAGATGAGTCCTGAAGGAAAAGAATGCAATTTGTCAACACAGTCAGGTCACAGCTATAAGGTCCCAGATTTAGTTCCCACAGCAGGAGGGAGGCATTTGAAAAAATTATTTAACACCAATGCTTCCATTCACTTAGCAATAAATAGATTCCTGACCTCTTGCATAGTCTAGTCACTTGGTTCTCCATTGTCATTTTCCTTCATATATGGGTATATAGTAACTTTGGTTGTTTCTTTGCTTTGGATACACTGTTATTTGTATAGCTTTCATTTTTCTGATACTCTTATACTTACATTTTTGTTCCTAGCTTTGTTATATCTATTCCAGTTTACCTCTGCCCTTTGTATTTCCAGAAAACAAGAAATAGTCAATTCAGCATAAATTTGTAACGTTTCTGATGAATTATGCACTTTCTTCAAAAACTTTGAAATGGTAGGAAATAATTTGAAATTGCAGTCACAATAATAAAATAAAAATCCTACCTATCAGTATGAGGTGCTGGCAGTTGGCAGTAAGAGATGCAATGACATGTGATTCAAGAATTTCGGCAGCTTCCTCGATGATAACTGAAAAAAGTATAGCATGTTCCTTTGGTAAAAGTAATGTGATATGGGAATACATTACAGTACAGTAACTGTATTCCAAGGGAGAGTAGGACTACTTGGTCTCCTAAGCTTTCCCTACTACCAAGACAAGCAATTTAAAAGTATACATCATATAATAATGATCAATTCATATTGAGTCAATACTGTACATAATTTTGTTACTGGCTGGCTAGCGTAAGTTTTTGGTTGCCACATCTGCCATTAGAATTCAAGAGATGAAAATATATACATCAAATAATACAAAATAAGTATGCTATTAAGTAAAGTACTGTCAGAGCTTGCCTTGGGATAATCTTTTCCAAAGAAAATAAGACAAACTCAACAGTTATTAGGTACAATACTGTACCATCTTTATGTTGTACACTGAAAGTATATTGTAATGAAATGTAAGGGGTGAAAAGTTGAGGGTGTGTAGGGAACAAGTCACAGTAATGTTGAAAATTAGTAACCCAACCCATACATATGAAATAAAGGAAAATAAAGACATTTCAGTCCATCCTCGACTCTTATAAAAGTCATGTCAGAATGGACCAAAATATCATTTTCATTTCATTTCATGTGTGGGCTGAGGTGTTAGTTTCATTACATTGATAAGGGATGAAGTGTGTGTGACTTGTGCTCCAAAATTTTATGTGCTGCTGACAATCAGTGGATGATTATGTTGAAAACTTTGTTGAGACAAGATCATCTGAACCTTCTTTACCTTTGTCTTGTGACAATTAATCCAACATTAACAGCAGTAACAAATGGTTAGTAGAAGAATAAATTTGAAACTAAAACTTGGTATAATATTGTTAAGAATATAAGGCACTTAAATTGAGTTTTACCAGAGAGTTAAGAAGGAATTAATGTAGTATTATTTTGAAAAGTAAGAGAACAAAAGGCTATCAAAGATTAATGATGTGACATTTATGTTAGCAAATACAAAACTTTTGTACATCTTTTTAAAACAGTAAAACTAAATACTGTATACTGTACACAAATCCAAAATCTTACTTACCAATAGCTGGGGCCAAGTCTTGCATAATGCTATTGTACTGCGCTGCACCTGTAGTTGTCATGCCCACTACTGAAGCATTACGCATGATATACAAATACTCTTGGTCCCGAGTTTCTCGCAGGGCTCTTGAATTCTTTTGGTAATTTGATTCATGGGTTTTAACTTTATGCTCCATTTTGTTTATGAGCCTCCCTAACCAGTATTTATAAAGCTGCCACCTCACTGGGAAACTAAGACTCAAAATATTAAGATTCATTTGCTTTTCTAGCTTAGACAATTCTTCAGGATTTCCAGTTAAAGTGAGGCCAATTTTCAATGCTTCCATCTGACCAGAAAGAATTGTACATTTAAAATAAGAACCTTGATTGGTTGGATCTTCATAATATCTTTCTGATTCTGCTTGGAACTCCCCTTCAAGTCTATTAAGAGTAATTTCATACTGGAGATGATAGGCTTCAAAAATTGGTTCATCATCACTGTCATCATCGTGTAACAGTCTATCTTGCTCCTCAAGACCAAGTAATTCCTGTGCATCTTCCCATTCATTATCACTATCACTTAATTCCCCTTCTTCTGTTTGACTTCTTTCCTGTTTCGAAGAAATAGGCTGATTTTTATGCGGTGCCAGTTGGAACTGGTTAATTTGACTTCCAAAATCCTCTTGCTGAATATTAAGAAGTAGCCATCCTGTTAACTTGTTACCAACTGCAACTGCTCTGAACTGGCATTCTAAATGCTTAGGTATGATGTTTTCAGATGCAAGTATGTCAAAAGATAGAATTCCTTTTTCTGTTTTGCAACTATCTATTTTGTTTCTCATAATCTTGATTTTGTTTTCCAATTCTATTACTTGTTTCCGTAATTCAGAATTTCGCTCATGGATGGGTCGTGGGAGGCTACGGTTCCCATGAAGATTACGTACTAGATAATTTACTTGAAAACGATTAATATTCTCACTCTTAGATCTTGACCCTATTCTTACAATATTACTTGTGTAAGTGGTCATTCCCTCTAAGAACTGATCTAGTGCATGATTTGTGAAACACACAACCAATATTGGAGTGGGATTATCTTTACTTTTCCAAACATTGCTATTGTGTAACAGGATCTGTGTAATTTTGAGACCTATAAAGGTCTTTCCAGTGCCTGGAGGTCCTTGGATAATGGCTACCTGACGTGTCAGAGCACTTCGAAGTGCTCTAGTTTGAGAACTATCAAGGCCTAACTCTTCATTAGATGGCCATGCTGTGAGGTAGCTTGTAACTAACACATTCTTAAGGTGAGTAAATTGGTCATCATCAGGCTCTTCAGTATCTGTTAAAAAATTAAACAGTGCATTGTATGCCTCAGACTTTTTCATCATCTTGCTTTTTTTAATAACTCTTAAATCATATGTCACTTGAGCATTCAAATATCTAGGAGATTTAACATCAGGCTCAACATAAACTATGTAAGGTTCCAAAGGAAATGCATTTCCAGACATATTTTTCAAAGCCATTAAAACATGTTTATAAGGCATAAAATAAGCTCTTGATTCAACCATCAAGAATTTACTGGTCATGTCAAACATTTCAATATCCGACTCAAACTGAATCCCAATAATTCCATCCTTTAGCATTTCTGGATCTCTGTCAGCAACAGATGCAAGGAGTAAGCTTCTGAAGTTATCACTGCTGAGACACAAAAGATTACCATACAACAAACGCTTGGAGTTCTCAAATTTGACTTTCTTTGGTATATTCAACTGAACATTATGAATGATGTTATGATTTTTTATCTGAGACCCAACAACACAAACATCTCTATAAATTCTTACATCCCTAACTTTAGAGTGCTTAGAACCCAAGAAATCCTGAATTCCTTTCCTCAGAGGCCTCACAAAATCTTCACGAAGAAGTCGAAATTGTACATCTAAGTAATGCTCGCCATCATTATATTTTCCCTGGACTATGTTCTTGCGAAGAAATGGACGCTCAACTGCAGATAAGTCCCTTGGTGTTGGTAATACTGGATATTCCCTAAAGTTATCAGGTGGATCCATGTGGTCCATTTCATACTTACGCCTTCTCCTTTCATTAGAACCTAGCATTTTCTCTTGTTCCCACTGTTTAGAAGCTTCAGTCAGCATTTCTTGCAGATCTTCATATTGCTTCACAAGACCATTTTCCTTTAATGGTATCAGGACTGAAATGCAGGCCTCCAATAAACTGGGTAGCCTGTCAATAGCAATGCTTGTCATAGCACTTGCATATGCTTCTAAAAATATGTGTAGTTTAAGGAACAAGTCTTTTGCCTTATGTAAATATTCTCTCTTAATTGTAAAGGCAAAATTGCATAATTTGTCAATGAATTTTTGTTCACAAGTTTTGCTAAACAGATCACATAAATTTTCTTTGTTTGACTGAGTACAAGTTGCATGTGCAAGAACACATATTAAAAGCACAAACTTGTCATTTGTTATTCTGTCATCCTCAAGAAGAAGAGTAAAGCCTGACCCAGCACTCAACAGTTCTGTGACTACTACATCAGATGGTAATTGCAACAGCTTTTCCATATGCTTGAAACCCAAAGGATAAGTTCTCTCTCTCCTTTGGTTTCTTCTGTCTGAGCCCGTTGAATTTCTATCATCATGTATACAAACATTTAAGGAATCTAAGCTTTTAGCACCTCTACTGGTTTGAAAGTCAGTACCCCTGCCCCTGCCCCTGCCTCTGCCTCTACCCCTTCCCCTACCCCTACCCCTACCCCAACCCCTGCCCCGGTCAAAGTTACCCCTAAAAGAATCTGTTTGAGGAGCAGAACCAGAACGGGTATATTGTCCCCTTTCATTTCTGGGTTGGTCTTCGTGATTAAAATGGCAATCATCTCTAAATTGTCTGGAACTGGACCCAAATCTTGATGTGTTCATGTTTCCCAAGTCTGAAAATTAATGGAATGCTATTAAAAAAATTTATTAAAATGAAAAGCACATAAGTTGAAAATCAAGATACAGTATAGAAATGCACCAGAGATTTATAACTTGAATCACTATCTTCTTTTCCTTGCAGTCAAAGGTATACTTGATTATCCCAAGTGTTTGGTTAGCTTCTTTGACTGCTGTTCCTACCTGCTGATACAGTATATTATTTATCATATACAAATGCAATCTAGCCCTTAAGCTGCACAAATACAAATTAAAGCTTTTGAAAGCGACAAAGAATTGGTAGATAGCTTATGGTAATGGTAACATAGTAAGCATATACAGTGGTACCTCGCATAACGATCGCCCCAAAAGACGAACATTTTGGGTAACGAACGGCCCGATCGGCGTCAAATCGTCCTGTATGACGAACGCTGGTTTGAGTAACGTCAAAACCACATGGTGGGGTCGCGCTGCTTCTTGCACATTCTTAGACGCCTCCGACGATGCACATAAATTATGTTGTTCTTGTTTAAAGATGCTAATGATGCTGGGATATAAAAGGGTGACTGCTGAGATGTTGCAAAGCATTGACGTTTTTGTAGGAAAAAAGAAATGAAATGTCTGCTATACAACAAATGTCAAAAAGGTTTGTTCGGTGTTTGGCAGGTAGGCTGCTCCATTAAAACAATCTTTCTTTGTTTCAAATGTGTTCCATTTGTTTTGCATTTGTCATTTACGTCTCAAAAATGGAGAAGCCTACCTTACATACACTGAATAAACCATTATGACATTTTCCTTTCTTCAAATGTGTTCAATATTTATTTTTCATTTGTCTTATAGCAAAAGGTTCATTCGATGGTTGGCAGGTAGGCTGCTCCATGTTTCTTACATACAAAAAACGTAAATAATAAAAAAATGAAGAATTTTAAAAACCAGTACAAATGTCAAAAAGGTTCGTTCGGTGGTCTACAGGTCGGCTGCTCCATGTTTCTTAAATAAAAAAATAAAAAACAAAAAATAAAAGAACTGTTGAAACAATTTGAAAATTGGACAAATGCCATAAAGGTTCGTTTAGTGTGTCGAGTAGGCTGCTCCATTATTGAGACGTAAGTGACAAATACAAAACAAATGGAACACATTTGAAACAAAGAAAGATTGTCATAATGGAGCAGCCTACCCAACAAGCACTGAACGAACCTTTTGCTATAACGAATATGAAAGACAAGGGCTGCTGGCTGGGTTAGTACTGCGTGAGCAACCATTTGTAGCACACATGCCTCTGGCTCTCAAACACCTGTCCCACACGGTGTTGAAAGACTGTGCTCAGTCGGTGCAATTCAGACCCTATTGTTTGAAGAACATAAGGGTCATAACATTAGTGAAGCTAGGCGCAATAAGGGCTTAACACAACGGTCGGATGCCAGTGATACAGCACCTATGAGGATGATACAGCGAGCGTATCCAGTTGTAGCTCCGAGCCCCACCCTTGCCATCTCGAATTTATATAGATGATACATAGATGAATCGTTTTCTGCGTTCAGTGATGATGCATCTGATACAAGTAGCATAGATGAACATTGTTAGCGGCTTCCATGGTGGTGTTGTTCATTGATATTTTCAAGAATACCTGAATCTCTTCCTGACTGATGGACACTCTTTGAGGCTAGCTGAATCTCTTCTTGACTGATGGACACTCTTTGAGGCTAGCTGAATCTCTTCCTGACTGATGGACACTCTTTGAGGCTGGCTGAATCTCTTCCTGTGTGGGACCTTACAAAGCGATCTTTTCAAGACTACCTTACAAATTGAGCTTTTCCTATAATCGTTTCAATACTACCTTATGCTTTACAAGCCTGGCTACATACCACCTACAAGTACTAAAGCCAAGGGTGCACGCGAGTGCGTTATTTGCAAGCACACAGAACGATGAAGCAGGAAACGAAAATCTATCTGTAGCTGGTGCAAGGAGAGCAAAGTCGTGCTGTGTAAAATGGACTACTTCGTTGACTATTACGCACTTCCAAAGCACTGAGTGTGTAATACAGTGTGTTACTGTGTAAATAGTATGTGAAACTGTACATATTGTAATTTTAGTGAATTTTTACCACGTAATATTGTGACAATAAACATTTATTGTGGACACATTACTGACACATGTATCACAGTTCCATGGAAAATTATGAACATTCTACTGTATACATATTGTAAAGGTCACAAGTATGCATCATATACGATAAAAGAAACAAATAAAACCGCATTGGAAATGCATAGAAAAAATATTTGAAAATATATTTGTGGCAACACGCGGTGCTTGAATGGCCTGCGCGACCGTGTCTGGGAGCTTCACACACGGGCGACCAGGCCCTGATGACGTCACAGCGCACCTTGTCCACACCCTCACAGCCAAAGTAAGTGGAATTTGATAATTATTTTCACATAGACATGTTCAGGGATGGTAATTTATCATTTTGTAAAGAAAAATGATATTTTGGGGAACATTTGATGTCATGCACACTGGGGAAATTTCACAATAAACACAGTGCATCACACTGGTTACATGGGGGACACTCGTTTTGTATGACGTCCGTTTCACATGACGAACATGGAACGGATTAAATTCGTTATGCAAGGTACCACTGTATATGCCTAACTGTATAAGCTTAATAGTCCCTGATTATGGGTGAGATAATAGCAAGAGCAGACAAATATAAAGCAAGATTGCTATTATTTGGGAACTTGAATTTGAAAACATTAGACTCAGAGGCCAACAATGATGACCAAGACATCTGAACTGGCATATTCACAAGCCTCTGTGTACACTGTTGTAACTGGGATATGGATCAAATACCCACTTGTATTAGTATTTTCATTGTTATTAATGCAAATAAACTACTGTACTCTTGCTAGAACTACTGACTCTGTATTGTAATAGTCTATGCCTTTCATCCTTAAGTATCACCTTTTTTGTTGTAATTTATTATTTTTCTTCAATATTTTAATTTTATTAGCTTACTTCTCTTTTAGTATTAATGTTTTACCCCCTCACTTATTTAGTTAAAAAAAATCTTTATTATTTTAAGTTTTGCCTGAAATGCTTTGCACAATAGTAGCTCATTAGTATGTGTAACTCCTGTCCTCACAATTGTATATACCCATTAGTTTTAAGCTTTAGTCATTAATGTTTTTCCTGCCCGAAACGCTTTGCGTAATAGTGGCTTTAGGCATTGTATCATATCTAGCCAAACTCAATATACTTAGCCCTTGCCAATATGGCTTCAGACCCAAAAAAAAGCACTAATGATGCACTTATTAGTATGCTTAACTCGATTCATACAGCTCTTGATAAAAATGAGTTCCCTGTTGGGTTGTTTGTGGACCTGCGTAAAGCTTTTGATACTGTCAACCACCAAAACCTTCTTCTTAAATTACATCATTATGGAGTCAGAGGACACTCCCTACAATACCTCGAGTCCTACCTTACTGACAGGCTCCAATATGTTTCTGTGAATAATACAATTTCTCCCACCCTACCCATCAACATTGGTGTTCCTCGGGGCAGCATACTTGGCCCTCTCCTCTTTCTCATCTACATTAATGACCTTCCAAATGCCTCCCAACACCTCAAACCAATTCTATTTGCTGACGACACAACCTTCATTTACTCCAGTCCTGATCCCCTTGCTCTAAATGCCACAGTAAATACTGAGCTAAATAAAGTCCATCTGTGGCTAACTGCCAACAAACTCACCCTTAACATTGACAAAACCTTCTATATTCTGTTTGGCAATAAATCCTCTAATCAAATAAATCTCAAAATAAACAATACCCAAATTTGTAACAAATTAGATGGCAAATTCCTTGGCATTCTCATTGACCACAAGCTGAATTTCCAGGGACACATTCTAAATATATCAAAAAAAGTTTCAAAAACTGTGGGCATTCTTTCTAAGATCAGATATTATGTACCACGCCCTGCTCTGGTGACTCTCTATTACTCCCTTATCTATCCTTATCTCAACTATGGTATTTGTGCTTGGGGTTCTACTACCCAAAATCACTTACGTCCTCTAATTACCCAACACAAAGCCGCTATTAGAACAATATCCAACTCTGGCCCCAGACATCACTCGGTACCCCTACTTAAATCTCTGAATATGTTAGACATTAAGTCACTGCACATTCTCTCATGTGTATTATACATATATAAAACGCTAAACTATAATGCCAATCCTGATCTCAAAAGCTTCATAGAAGGTTGTATCAGAACCCATGAGCATCACACCAGAAATAAATACAGTTTTGATATTCCTAGAGTACGACTTAATCAAACTAGAAATGCTCTACAAATCAAGGGGCCCAGAATGTGGAATGACCTTCCCAACCATGTTAAAGACTGTACCTCTCTCAACCAGTTTAAGTTAAAAGCGAAGCTATACCTAATAAATTCCCTGTAACCTACCTTACCCTTCTATTGTCAAGCAATGTCTGTTTTTTTTCTTTAAAGAGCGCTGTTTGTCGACATAATTGTATTTGTGCTGCTTTTTCATCTATGTTTTCATTTCTTGTTTTCATTCTACTCATTATGCTCAATTAGTATTAAGCTTGTCATTTAAGTTTATCATGCCCGAAACGCTTTGCGTAATAGTGGCTTTAGGCATTGTATGTACTAGCTCTACCTATAAGTCAAACAATCCTTGTAAATATTTATTGTATGTATGTACCTTACCTAAATAAAATTGTATTGTATTGTATTGTATGTACTAGCTCTATCTATTAACCCAACAAACTTTGTAAAATCTCTTTATGTACCTTACCTAAATAAACATTTATTTATTTATTATTTATTTATTTATATTACTTTTCACCTTACCCCAAATGCTATGCGTACTAGTCTAGTGGCCTTAGGTACTGTATTGTATGTACTATCTCTATCTTTAAATCCAACATTATATATAACTCAATGTATGCACCTTTACCTGAATAAAAAATCTAATCTAATCTACTCTTTAAGTTCTTTGTACACACATTCTTTTGAATAAAAATTATTATATTATTGTTTGGAGACCAGTGACTGGGTGTCCAAACACAGCACAATGAAACCTAAGACACCTTCAGTTTTTCGTTAATATCGTCTTGGATATTGCATGTACATCATTACAAGTGATAAAACTTTTCTTTCGCTTTCAATCGTAACATATACAGTATATAAATCAAAACTATTAATATATTTTAATCCACTTAAAGCGTCAATAACTTGATGTGTCCGGAGAATAGCGTCCTTACCCTATTTCCAGGTTTTCACTCAAGAAATTTTCAAGGTAAACTGTATAAAATGTAACTAGTAGTTTTGTCTTTCTTGTAACACAAATGATTTGCGTTTATTCACGTTCCTATATGATTATAGGAATTGTCCTTCGCCGCTAGTCTATAGTCTACAGATCACATAAGTTATCCCAATTACTGTGTTATATTATTTTTATTTATTAATTTATTTATTAATTTATATATACAAGAAGGTACACTGGATTGCGAGAGTACAGGTACTCTTACATTAAGTTCATGTATGTTTATTGAGACAAACTCTGACATTCTTGCAAAGCTACTAACACGCATAGCGTTTCGGCCAGGAATTACTATATTATGTTTAATGTTTACTCTAACCTTAATATCTCCTGTGATCCACCTAGTTGAGTGCACCAGGTGATAAACAACGACGCATTAGGTGACAGGTGACGATGTCTATATAGCCGACAGGAAACAAAGCCTCAGATGACGGATCGAAGCGTAAATCAGGCGATAAGCACTATAATGTACCGCCCATCACGTCAGGCGACGAAAGGATTAAGTGACAGTACTCCCAGCTAGGACACAGCAAGTGGTACGGTATAATGCACCAAACAGCTGAGGAGGTCGAGGAACTACTGAACCTGATTCAGTCCCGAGCCGCCGCCCGAGCCTCCGCCGCCGCACAGGATGAGAACACGTCCACGGGAGCCCGTCTCCCTGCCAGTCGGCCGCAGGACCATACACTCCCACGTACTCATCCTCCATTGATTTTCATGCACATTATCTCTTATTTGAAGAAGTGAGAGCAATTTGTACGGGGATGAGAGGATGGGATCCAACCACATGTATGTATGGATTCGATTGATACGAAGCCAAATGCATGATATAATTTAATATTTGGTGTTGAGACTAGGCAAGTTGCATAGTAACTCCGCCCTACCACACACTAGCGTCACGCGGCGTGACTCATTCTCCCGTATCAGTCTAGTGAGTTACCGGAATCACACTATTAATTTTAATTTAATTTTGCCCCGAGGGCCAGTTTATTGGGAAGCGCCAATAGCTGGTGTAGAAATAAAAGACTATTTGTATAGCCATTTTCATTTTTGTTGGCTAATATACACATTCCATTGTATGTTAGTTTTAAACAGGTAAACTTTGCTTCACGCGTACAGGACGGAGTGGGCCGACAGTTTTCAGTAAGCAAGTACAGTACACGTTGAGTTAGTACCCTAGAGCATATAAAAACTAGAGAATGCATGGTGGTGTAAAGGCTGACGCCAGTATACATAAAACATATAGTAACTGCAAGAAGCTTGAGTTGGCAAATCACACATCCTAATATGAATCTTAGACTGTTGAAGTAAAATGAATGCAAGCTCAATCATACCTGAAAGAAGAGCAAAATAGCTGTTCATGGTGTGAACGGTATTACAACTACGTATATGAGATTACTATATAGTCTTGCACTTATCAGAAGGAATTACTTGCACCGAGAGAGTATTTACTATAGCTATATATATATATATATATATATATATATATATATATATATATATATATATATATATATATATATATATATATATATATATATATATATATATATATATATATATATATATATATATATATATATATATATATATATATATATATATAAAGTACCAAGGAGAGATATGAGGACATGGAAAAACACTAAGATATCACCTCATATCGAAGGTATTCATAACCTATAGTTGACCGGATTTTTTTTTGTTTACGACCAGCTTGTAAATTAACAATATGTAATATCTTCAGCAAAATTCTATAAACGTTTTGCAGTGTTATCTACGCTATCGAAAAGTTAATCAGGGCATTTTCAGACAAGGGAGTATATAATTTTTTTTTTTAATTTCAATCATGACATTCACGTAGCTATAGGATATTATTATATTATATAAACAAGATGCACGAATTTTGGTAAGCAGAGGGAACATGACGCTTATATTTTTACAAGTAGTAATATTGCAATTTTCGGTCCTATTGTAGGTTATTAATTATAGGAGGCTATATAAACGTTGTTATTATCTTATACTGTATTTCTATTCTCGGAAGTGGGCAGCTGAACCTAGTAGCATCATACTATTCTTATAATCCACGTCCCTCGTACATTGCGGATGAACTTACCAGATATGGGATATAAATCTTCTGATAAGAAATCTTCGCTGGGGATCGTGTTCAAAAGACAGTCATTCTGCTTCATATTCAACGAGTCTCGTAGATCAATGAGTGGTTCATTATTCGTCATATTCAATTTATTTCGTAGATCTGTGGGTGGTGCATTCATGACGTCTGATAAGAAATCTTCGCTGGGGATCGTGCTCAAAAAACAGTCATTCTGCCTCATATTTAACGAGTCTCGTAGATCAATGGGTTGTTCATTATTCGTCATATTCAATTTATTTCGTAGATCTGTGGGCGGTTCATTCATGACGTCTGATAAGAAATCTTCGCTGGGGATCGTGTTCAACAGACAGTCATTCTGCCTCATATTCAACGAGTCTCGTAGATCAATGGGTGGTTCATTATTCGTCATATTCAATTTATTTCGTAGATCTGTGGGTGGTTCTTCTTGTGTCCAATAGTCGTCATCCGTTTCAAACAACCCATAACTTATGTCTGGTTGCTCCTGGTAATCAACGCGGTAGAACTTGTGAGGCCGTCCAGTTTCTATATTACGACACCTCTTCATCACTGACAATATATATATTCATTAACTAACGAGAAATAATAATTATATATATTCTGTATGCTTAGTTTCCGCAAAGCTCTTCGAACGAATATGTATGTGATTATCATTTCTTAATCACTATCACACTGCAGCGAGAGGCCACGAATTTATAGATTTTTCATTATAGATACCGGTGGTTGTTTGGCACAGATGCTAAGTCCAAGAGTATAGCTGGGGATCTGGGACAACTGTAAACAAAGGCCAACGCTGACTACGACTTGATTCTTACCAGCTCGGCAAGACTGCTTTAAACATACGTTGTGCTTGCTTCTCTTCGTAGCGTTACGTTATAGCTTCTACGTATTTCTTAGTGCAGGCCACTTATAGTTCATATTTGCTATTGAATTCATAACGCTGTGGCTTTAAAGTATGATTTTAAGGTCGGGATAAATGCTTATAAACCCACAATTAAACGTACGATAGCAACTTACCCTCATATGTGCAGCGAAGCACCGCACCCGTCCAGGACGTGTGAAGTGACAGCCGAGGTACTATACGTATTAGCACCTCACAGTTAATACACATCCGTGCTGCTTGAGGACGTGTCTTACGGGCTCACCATAGCCCGTGCTACATGGACACTTCGTTCTAAGTAGCTAAATCTAAAACAACAATAAGGACGTGTCCCCACGGTGCCTCTGAATCGCACACTGTGAGGTAGAGGGAAACATTCACCGTGATATCATGCACTTCTGATGCGTGTAAATAAAAAACAAAAAAAATGTTTGCTATTACTTGAAGGCCACCATCGCGACTCGGCCTTGACGGGGACAGCACGCCGTCGGATAGTCAAATGTTACTCTATTTTATTTCCTGGCAATTTTATCCAGATACAATTTTAAATTTTGCTGCATTTTAAATTAGTGTTATTGACACCGCCCAACACATTATTGTGCACTGTAGCACAAACTTTAAATTGAAAAAAATAATTACCATTATAATGGAAAACAAGAATAGTACATACTTATTACGAAAAACAAATGCAACAAAATTACCTTTACATGAAGCTGATCATCTTGAACATTCTTCTTCCCCCATTCTGTCTATGACTTGATGTACTCGTGCATATTTTTCTGTAGATCTGATTTCTCTGTCTCTCTCTCTTTCTCTCTCTCTGTCTCTCTGTCTCTCTCTCTCTCTCTCTCTCTCTGTCTCTCTCTCTCTCTCTCTCTCTCTCTCTCTCTCTCTCTCTCTCTCTCTCTCTCTCTCTCTCTCTCTCTCTCTCTCTCTCTCTCTCTCTCTCTCTCTCTCTCTCTCTCTCTCTCTCTCTCTCTCTCTCTCTCTCTCTCTCTCTCTCTCTCTCTCTCTCTCTCTCTCTCTCTCTCTCTCTCTCTCTCTCTCTCTCTCTCTCTCTCTCTCTCTCTCTCTCTCTCTCTCTCTCTCTCTCTCTCTCTCTCTCTCTCTCTCTCTCTCTCTCTCTCTCTCTCTCTCTCTCTCTCTCTCTCTTTTCCTCCTGTCCTGAAGATTATAGTATGAGTAAGAGGTCAGAGGTGAAGCACACTGTCATTAGCATAGACTAGTGCTAAGAACACAGGACATTCCTACATGGGTGGCTGTCAGCGAATAACGTGTGAAATGCTCTGTCAGCAATTAGGGTGCAGTTTGTGGTGTATAAATGGTCCGTGTGGGCACATAAGATTCAGAGAGAGTGCCTGGTTCATGGAAGGAGAACTGGTTGAAGGATATCGCACAGCCAGGGCAGAGATAGTGAATCCACCGGTGGAAAGTCAGCGTTCCTAAGGTAATGTGTATGTCCCTGATATATATTTCCATGCCAAAATTTACTAAACCATTGCCATTGTGTAGGGACTTAGAATCTGTGGTGTATATCAGAATTTTGACTTAATAAACTCTTATTAAATTTACATCCTTATGTGTCAATTGGTTTCCCATCTGTCATCTCCCGTGTGTCAACAAGGTCATTGAACCTCCCAAACTCTCCAGAATCTGATTGTTTTACCATCATTGTCAGTCAGGGATTACATCAAAAGAAGGTTATTATTATTATTAACATCTGTATTGAAAAAAATAATTACAATTTTGCCTATTCTGAGGAATTAAATTAGGTCTTATTAGAGTGAGGATAATGCTGGTATTCACTGTCACACAGGACAAAGGGTCATACACAAGACAATAGGTCTAAACTGTAGGCTGAAGCACATATATTTTATGGTTACAAAGAACTACATTAGACTGTATACACGTTTCACTGTACGAATATGTAACTACAACTTTCTATTTTGTACTGCCACACAAGGGCAGTGCACAATAGTTCATAAGAGATGCAGCTTAAAAATAATATAAATATAATTGTTCTTCATTCTTTATAATGGACAAGCAAATTTTTGATAAATTGTTAGGATGTCGTCCAGTACACGAGATTCAATAAAATAGTTACACAGTTCGTGGAACAATAGGCCAGGTCTAAAATCTTTTATGGTTTCACATTCAACAATATAGTGTTCTAGTGAATGCATTAAAGGTTTATCACAGAGTTTACAATCTGAATATTCTGGTAGTGGCTCACCCTCACTAACCTGCCAGATGTGCCTATAGCCAAGGCGAATTCGCGCAATGACTACATCACATTGCCTGGTCCGGCTACTGTGCTGACCATACAAATACCTATTATTACAAAACTTGTCAAAGCTTTTAATACTGCAGCTTTCAGGTCTCAGGGCATTTCTTAGTTCTTCTAAATCTGAATTAATTTCTTTAATTTGTATGTTTCTAATAATTGCATTAGATAGTCCAAAGTTATAATCAGTGTTTTCTTTCCTGCAAGCCTCATTGGCCAATCGATCTACAAAGTCATGTTTTCCAACTCCAACAGGGAATGGGATCCACACAAATTTTATACAATAGTTATTATCATTAGCAAAAATTCCATTCCATTTAATATTACAAGCTACTTAAGACATTAATTGTGATGGGTTATTTAAGAACTGCAGAGCACTTCTAGAGTTACAGAATATCACTCCACCACCATTGAGCTTAAGGTACTCAGTGGCGCAGACCCAATAGCTCGGTCTGTGTTGTGCTTGCCCAGTCATTCAATCTCTGTGTACTAGAACATGATGATTGATTGATAAAGATTAAGCCACCCAAGAGGTGGCACGGGCATGAATAGACCGTAATAGAACATGATCATTTCATTCCCTATATATACTGCACAGCGTTCCAAGAAGCGTTCCTCAGCGTTCGAAGACCTCGTCCAGCTCCTCGGAGGTTGGGTGCGTACCCAGGATATAGCACGCATTTCCCCTCTGAACTGCGACACTGAGGCGCTGGATCTGGAAACTGGCCGCTCGTGGGTCTCTAGTTTTCCTAATGAGTTCCTCATCCACCTTCTTTAAAAAGTAAAGTGCACATTTACCCCAGGCGCCCAGAGTCGCAGAGCCTATCGGCACGAACCTGTAACAACGTTCTAGGTCTCTGTACTTGTTGATTTTCTGGGTCTCCCTGAAGGTGGCTGCCCCACCTCCCTCCGCTGAGCTGTAACGTAGATCGGTATCAACCAATGAAGATGCACACGTGTAATCCTATACGACCTGTTTACCTTCCCTCCATGGCTTCAGGGTGACTCCATCTGGGCGTTTTTGGGTCAGTCTGGCCCAGCCCGTCCCAAACACCAGCAACAAGACCTCAGTCAGAAAAAAACCGAATGCCCTGACCCAAAACCCACCAGACAATACTGGGTAACACAATTAAGACAAACATGCCAGATCAAGGCAATCAACGCAGGCCAGAAACAGCTAGGCACACAAACCACAAACAGCTGAACACAGCCCAGTTTTGGTTGATCTCTGATCTGCAAGCTTCCCTTCAACTCTTTTGAGAGAAACAGATTCTGGTCCTAATTCCTAATAAGCTCTCACGGGTCTGTGTACACTGGCTACTTTAAGGTTGCAGCTTTAGTGAGCTAATGTGGAGGACATTCCAAAAATACAATAGTGCATTGTAAAATACATATTATGTGAGTAATAGTATATAATGTCTTCTTTTAAAACTTAATCTATATCTGACCGTGTTATGTTTAACTGCCCAATCAGAAAGAAAATAATACTTACTGTCCAACATGAAAGAAAATGTTAAGCCTACTGTCCAATATGAAAGAAAATGTTACATATTGTCCATTATGAAAGAAAATGACACCTACAAAAATAAAAAGAAAGTTAATGCATAAAAAAGACTACTTCTTTTAGAACTAGAACACTAAAATGACTAGAACATGTGACTAGAACAGAACACTAAAATGCTTCCTCTGGCAAGATACTGGCGCCAATTAAGCGAGTGCATCATGGCGGTCAGGGTTGCTGGAGGAAACGAGTCAGGTGGGCCAACCTGTGATTTGTGAGAGCACTGTTTGACTACTCTTGTGCTCCCGGATAGAGCTTAAAAAGGCTTACACGTAAATTTTATATGGCCACTCTAGACTGGACAGAGCTTTCATACTGTCACTAATTTGATTTCTTGTTTATGATTGATTGATAATTGTTTAAGATTGATTGTTTCACATTGTAATTTAAAATATACTGCAAATTTTATGTTAGCTTTAAGACTTGCTGAAAATGCTATGCATGTTAGTTGTTTTGCAGAAATGTACCATTCAGTCACCAAAATCTTTACTTTCATAACCCATTGTACCTTGTATTATATATAGAATATATAAAATAAACAAATTTCATAACGCGCCAATGCAAAATTTAACTTGCCATGAACCAATTCTTTAGGACCAGGATGCCTTAGGGAGCATCATAGTGAAATAGCTACAAAATTATCCTGTTAAAAGCGCGTAACACTTTTTCTGTAGCTTTGTGTCTCATTTCCTAGCAGGTGATGAAATGAAAAAAACTTAAATGATTTTGTTTTCCCTAAGAAGAATTTTATCCAGACATTTGGACTGCCTTTATGAGATAGTAATTGAAAGGATCATATAAAATTATCTTTACAAGATTTCTACTTTCTAGTCTGACAATACCTGGAAACTAAAAATTGTTTTAAGAATTAATATGCAAGATTAACAAAAATAACAGGTACAATTCAAATGCAGACACTATTAATGAAAAACTATATTAAATCACAGGCATTGTAGTGAGAGAATGTAGAGAACTGGCAGAGAGCACTGTAGTGCTCTCTGCCAGTTCATATAGCCAAACATATCAAATCAAATCAAATGTTTAAGCAGGTAAAAGTACATACATACAAGATGAGTTACAAATATAATGTTGGATTTATAGATAGAGCTAGTACATACTATGGTTAAAGACATTAATACGCGCAGCGTTCCGGGCAAGGTGTGGGGGAAAAAACACTCAGACTAAAACTTAATACTAATTGAGATCAGAGCATAAATTAAATTGAAAAAGGGGAAAAAGAGGGGAGGGAACATGGCGGAAATCAAGCAGTTATACAAGTTGGTCAACAAACAGTATTGAAAATTGAAAAATACATATTGAAAATTTATTGAAAATAGAAAGATATGGGTTGACATTTATGGGGGTAAGGTAGGTTACATGGAGCTTATTAGGTAGTACTTAGTTTTTCTCTTAAACTGGTTGAGAGGGGTACAGCCTTTGACATGATTGGGAAGGTCATTCCACATTCTGGGTTCCTTGATTTGTAGAGTATTTCTAGTTTGGTTAAGGCGCACTCTTGGAATATCAAAGAGGTATTTGTTTCTGGTGTGGTGCCCATGAGTTCTGTTACAACCTTCTAGGGAGCGTTTAAGATCAGGATTGACATTACAGTGCAGAGTTTTAAATATATAGAGTGCACTTAAGAGGATGTGCAGTGACTTAATATCTATCATATTCAAAGATTTACGGGTACCGAGTGCTGTCTGGGGCCAGAGTTTGATATTGTTCTAATAGTTGTGTTGAGTAATTACAGGACGTAGATGATTTTGGATAGTAGAACCCCAAGCACAAATACCATAATTGAGATAAGGATAGATGAGAGAGTAATAAAGCGTCTCCAGGGCAGGGCGAAGTACATAATATCTGATCTTAGAAAGAATGACAACAGTTTTAGAAACTTTGATATATTTTGAATATGGCCGTGGAAATTCGGCTTGTTATCGATGAGAACGCCAAGGACTTTACCATCTACCTTGTTACATATCTTTAGACAAATCCAAATGTAAATTTGCTAAAAGAACAAACATTGAAGTTATGTACACAATTAAAAAGAAGATCCATTGCAAATATAAATATAGTGCAAAGATATACACCCAATTAAATACCATCAAGGTTGAAGTTCCCCATGTTGTTATGCTCGGACCAAGCCCCATGCCGTGCACCATCCATCTCACTTGCCACAGTATTATCACTCCTCAGCCTATGTGATCCCCCTCCAATTTGTGCCCCACAATCGGGACAGCTGCTTTCAACCATTGCTCCCCCACACTCGGTGATGCAGTACACATGCCCATTTGGACATTTGTACCAATGCCCCTGCTTGAGCCCCATAGCTTTCAAGATCATTATCTTCTCGCTCTCATTAATTCCCAAGCCACCAACATATTCCTCACTCTCTTTCAAAAGTGCACGTATTTTTGTATCTAGTTCTGCATTAAATTTGATTGTAGGATCCATTAGCTTCTCCAACTTTACCTTGATTTCCTTAACCTTATCATTGCTATGATTGATACATTTTTCATTAAAAGTCCAATAAGCAGGAAGAATCATAAGACGCTCCAGTTCACAGCTCACCTCATCAACCATCTGAGGAGCAATAATTGTATTTTTCACCATAACAAGTTTAACTATTGCCGCCACCCTTGGCCGTAATCGAATTTCATGATTAGACAGCTGACGTGCTGCCCGAAATCTACACATGTAATTTCGTGCTTGAACGATATCTGTGGTATTGCCTTTAGACGAAGACATCAGGATTCTGGTGGCCTTCATAAGGACTTGGGATTGAAACTGGATAAGCCTCAGTTCTCCTTCATTAACATATATGTTGCGACCCCAGTATGGGGTAGCAACAAGCCCCATATCGAGTTTCTTGCGTAACTCTGTGGTATGAGAATTGAAGTGAATAGCAACTTTTGGATCTGTGGATATAGAAGGTATTATTATTATTATTACAATCGAATCTAATCCAGTGCTAAAAGTTGGAATAATGAAATTGATTTGGAATGATGATTTATTACAATCAAGCTTTTGACTTTACATCATGATACATTGTACACACGTGGACTTGAGAATGGTCCAGGACGGACCGAAACGTCATCGTCCCTTCACTTTCTAGTGTGTGGTCTGGTCAACGTGCACTTTCAAATTTGTGAATATTTTCCAAAACAGTAAATGTATACATCATCCAATACATTAAAATAGAGTGTCAAAAATGGATAGGGCAAGCCCATTGTCAAGTAAACACGGCATAATTTAACCAATATTCTTTTGATTATCTAATGTATTTTTTTAGCTTTAATATTTATAAATTATTTATGCTGTACAGATTAAAAGTGCTACAAATTATTAGTGTATAATTAATTTACTTTGTAAAACAAGAGTATTACATAAGACACACAAAATTGGGTACAGGTCGTGAACAGGAAGATAATATAGAAAATCAGTAATATAATTAAATTTTAGTAATAATTAAAATAACTAATTACTGATTATCTTTATTGCCTTCCTGTTCACGACCTGTACTCAGTGTAAAAGTAGATTAGCCGTTTGATAAATGAAATAGTGGCAAAAGTAGAGAAAGTCAAGTAGATGTATTCTCTACTTGTTATAACATTCAAGGCAGGAAGGAAGAGTAGTGACACATGATACAAAAGCCAACTGGAAGTTAATGCAAAAGAAATTGGTGCAACACCCAAAACTAAGCCCAGAGGAATGCCAACCAGAAAAGCGAGTCAGGACAACTGACCAAGGGGCCAACTCCTGCATAAATATGAAGGCTGCTCTGGCATTCCCATTAGAAAATCTAATAAGAAAAGAACTAGGATAACATCCAGACACAAAATCTAAAATGACCCAGGGACCACAAAATAAAAACATGAGCTAAAAAGGCAGAAAAGAAGTGCAGAGGTCCAGCTATTCAGGTGTGGTAGGCTGAGACCCAACACCCCAAGAACTAAAGCACCTGATAGGGGTATGAGGACTGATCCCAAACCCCATCCAGTCCCAGAACCCCATATGAGAATCAACAGAACGTGCTCATATGCAGTGAGAGTGGGAAACAAGTAGAATGAAGGAATGAAGCTTGAACCATAGGTGGCAATTTCAAGCAACCACCATTCATAGCTTCAAAAGCAAATATAACAAAAGGCACAGAAAAATATGTAAGTATAAATATACCAGGTACAATAGCTATGAGGCTGGGCTCTAGATCTGAATTTCAATCAGTACATAAACAACAAAATCAGAGCTAAATACCCCAGAAATCAAGAGACACAAAAGCTGCACAGAAAGGAAGCAAACGGCTGCCTCATACCAAAAGATACCCGTGGAAGACGAAAAATTCACTATGTTATGGAAAAGTATGTGATTACTCATACCAAAAGATACCCGTGGAAGACGAAAAATTCACTATGTTATGGAAAAGTATGTAATTACTCATACCAAAAGATACCCGTGGAAGACGAAAAATTCACTATGTTATGGAAAAGTATGTGATTAAACTGAGAGGGCCAATGGTACAAGATTAAAAGAGTTCCTAAAATACTGGAATTAGGAAGGCCCCGGCCCCCAGGGAAGAATATTCCCAATAAATACTAAGAGTTAGGTTAGGATATATATCCGCAGTCTAAGGAGATCCCCTATTCCGCACTCAGCAGGATTAAAGAAAACCTCCTTTCTTATACCTTATTTATTAAACCCTCTAATAACCCCCCATATACATTAATACCATTAACTACTTTATCACTCTACTTTACGTTAAACGCCTTGGTCCACATAGGCAGGATACAAGGTTTTACAATTACAAAACTAGGGTAAAATCTACTTGGATAGGGCACTAGCAAAGGCTATAGGTAGCCTGGGAACAACTTGAGCACGAGTGGTTACACTAACACAACCTAGAGTAATCTGAGGAATATAAACACTAGCTCAGGCAAACTACTACACACTTGCCAGAGACCAGTACACATTATACAATACTTATCTTGTAGATTGAGAATCAGGATATGGTAAGGAGAGAGAGAGAGAGAGAAAGTAAAGGAGTACAGGAGGGGAAGTGTGAACCCAACCACAGCCAGCACCAAAGAGAGCGACCCAGAGTCCTCCTGCCTCCTCCTCTGATGGCTTCCGGACGGATACTCAGCTGATCGTTCAGCAGACATCATCCCAAGTTTACTCAGACAGTCATTATTAGTTACTTTAATCATTCTAAGAATAGTTGATAATTACTTCAATATTATATTTAATAATCAACAAGCCCAGAGTCTTAATGCTCTGTGAGAAACAAGATTCATCTTACGTTAGGCAAGGAAGATAGGAACAAAAACACATCGGCAGTGAGGAGAGCCAGAGTATAAATGTTATTGTTAGAGGACTATCCTTCTCACATGATCTAATCCTATCAATTAATGTAAAGTAATTACTTAAAAGCTCAATTTGACCTCTGGTTTCCAACTAAGGAACCTAGGGTCGTAACACACTACCAGGGTTGGTAGTGGGTTTTTCATTTTTCAAAGTAGGGTTGACATAAAACTGTGTTTTCCAATTCCCAGTACCTCTATTGTCAGCAGAGGATCCCTTCAATAATGAAAAAAGTGACTAAATAGGTGGATGTGACTAACCCACACAATCCTAGCAGGAGATCCCAGCAACAAATAAATTGATCACAGAAGAACAGCATGTAAACCAAGAAGGGACAAATAACTTTTGGCAGAAAATAAATATACCCCAGAAGTATAAAACATAACCAATGAAAAAAGTCTTACCTTGCAATATCAATTCAATTTCCTTCCTCTCTACTCCTTTGAGTTGAGATTTATATCTGTACTTGACATCTTTAACAGCTTCATATGTCTTAAGTACCACGTCCTGATAACGACGATTATTATAGATGGGTTTTCGACACTTTGGACATGTCTTCATACCAATTTCAGCAGTTTCCTGGCCCAGCCAGCCCTCCAGGCCTTGAACTTCAATAGTGTGGCCACAGTCCTCCAACAGCACAAATCTGAAATTTAGTAGTTATTGAAATTTTTTATGAAATTACTTTTAAAGTCTTTGATGCCTTTTTTCACAAGGTAAAGTACTCTTGCATGTAAGAGTTCGTAACTTCCATGAATTTGATTTAAATATGAGAGTAATCTATTGAAGGTCACCATCATTCGCAAATACAGGTTTAAAGTTGCACAATACTATTTAATGGGAACATATTGAATAAAATATGAGATGTCAAAGAATATAAACACAGTATGGAATACACTAAATATTGAATCAGTAAATGGACAGTAACATACCACAAAATACTTTATGATGTGCGTATAACAAAATGCTGAACAGCCCAAACTCACCTTGCATCAGCATCCTCTTCACAACCCAATAATACAAATTCTGTAAGCTCCTCTGCATCACAAATCCGACACAATGGTGGACACGGATCACCGCAAAAGCCAACGCATGGATGGCCACAATTCAGTTTTAGTGGGCAAGCCTGATCACAAGGTTTTCTTGAGCACTTCTCACCACAAAGTTTCGTACATTTCAAGTGCTTACACTTCCAATCACAATTCATCTGAGAAATGAAAATTTTAGATTTAGTCAAATTTATGTTTTTAAAGAAATTAGATTCAAATGTAAATATGTATAGAGTGGGAGTCTGTATTTACCCGAATTTACCTGAGGGCCACCATCAGTCTAGTGGGCATGACGGAGACAGGAAGCCCATGGCATGTCAAAGGTCCCGCCATATTTCCTGATTATTTTTTCCAACCGGATTTTGGTACGGTACTGCAGTAATGTCTTAGCATTAGGCTTTATAACATTAGGCTTTATAACCTAATGTAGTACTTTTAAATAGCTGTGCAGCTTAAGAGTTAAACAGCACATTTCTGCTATATGGTATTTAGTAACCAATAATTTAAATTACATGCACTATTATTATGTAATATGCACTAATGGCATTCTCCTATCCTCCTCAGCAACGTCAAGCATAATTTAACACAAGCCTCACAACCGCGAACATTTACCTACACTCTCACATATAGCCCACCTAACCCCTAGCCTACTAAAGTAGTTACAAATTGCTAACTAAGTTCCTTCTTGGTTTATAAAAAACTGTCAAACGTTTATAGTGGTCTGTGCTAGTCAATATTACTGTAGCATTATCCGTCACTATCACTTTGCTTCATCCATGGAAATAAAGTGAGTCGGTGAGATGTGTTCGGTTCCCAGTTCAAATGTTAACGTTACTCGCCGGGTTGACGGGAACACTCGCCACCATCCTCACACCCACTTACTGCCACCTGTCAACACACCATCACCCACCCACCCAAAAATCACACTATAACGAGGTAGTTAGTACAGTTGGTTCATAGCCGAAAGGTCCCAGGTTCAATATCTCAAACACAGTCTTTGACATTATGTCCTAATGTTATATGGCGCAGGCTTTGGTATTATGGCCTATGGTGATACTGCACAGGCTTTGATATTATGAAGTGGGGTGATATTGACAAAAGAATTCAATGTGTAGATAATGTAAAATTAAGCAGACAACAAAATAGTGTTTCAGTGTGAAATAAAAATAACATCCATTAATTTTACTGATGTACGCTTCTATGAACAAACAATGTCAGTCGGTTCACGAACAAACTTTCCATTTCAACAAATAATTACATGCTGATTAATGCAAAGTAGCTACTTTTCTCACCTTACATACTGTGCAGGGAATACCACATATCTTCCGGCAACGACTGTGTGTACAGCGCCACTGGCATTCTTCCTGGCATGGAGGACACTCTGTACTACAAGGATGCTTGCATCTGCAAGTAACAAACATATTGTGTTCGTATAGCAATAGCATGGATTCAAAATAATTAAAAAGATCTGAATGTATTTGTTTAGCCAATTTAATCACAATTACCTGTCATCTTTTCTGAACAATACTACACAGTTGTGCCTGTTGTGCAGGGATAAATCTAAATCACACAAAAAACATCATATAAAGACAAACTTTGCGACAAAGTAACAGTAGCGATCAGCTGACACTATCAACAAAGCATCCAGTCCTTTCTGCCTTCTTCTTAGTCTTACTCTAAGAAACAAAAGTCATGCCTAGTCTAAACATTAACTATGACATGCCACAGTGACCTGTCTCCTGATATCCTTGATCAAGCAGTCATCAGGAGAAAATTGTCACGCAATTTAACATATCATAAACAAGCAAAGAGCCAAGGATGCAGATGGCCTTTACCCTCTGGATTGCCACACTAAATTAAGGTGCTGGAAAAAGAAACTGGCTGCTAATGGGTCTCTTGTTGTTTTGGTAAGCCTGAAACCCAGATTCCTGAGAAAGTGCCTAGTGATTTTACCAATAGAAACAAAGTTGTACTGGTGGTCTACTTCCCTGTAGTTATTGGACTCGACTCTTTTTTTTGTTTTCCTGTGAATGGCAGCAGTAACTGTTTGACCAACAGTGAGTCAATGTAGGTGTCGAACCAAGGTGTCTACAGGTATAAGACTATGCCACCTGTCTGCCAATCCTCCTTGGACATAGTGTAATCCCATTTGGTTGACCAACATGGATACCAGAACTATGGGACATTAAAAAACTGGATATTCTCTCTGCTGGACACTTGGCAGAGATGAGACTCTGCCTAATGGTGTATTAGACCCTGTCATGCCTTGTTTGCCATCTGTTGTGTTTTATATAGAGCAAACCATGCAACTTCTATTCATCTGCCTAGCCACAAATGAACTTACAGCATGGATATGGGTTGGAAAGCAGAGAGCCACTGCAATATGTAGGTGCTACAAGACCTGCTGTACATATGGGGACTGCAAAAAGGAAATTACCTGCATGGGAACTATTAACTCATAATAGTAATTAATTATCACACGTCTCTTTGCCTACACATACAGTTATAAGACAAAAAAATTGGAAATACTTACATGTGTCCGCACACAAGCGGTTTTTCGCACGGTTGCTGACACGAGACATGAATCCGTCCCTGAAAGCAGAGCCCACAATTGCCTAAACAATTATGCTCACAATTCAGGACCTGACCGCATGGTTCTTTACAATATTCCCATGCATCCTCTCCATTCACTGAAAATTAAAAAAAAAAACATTGTAAAGTTATATTATATATATATATATATATATATATATATATATATATATATATATATATATATATATATATATATATATATATATATATATATATATATATATATATATATAAAATACAAACATAATAACCTACACCTACAATATAGATAACAATATTGTAATAATTAACTCCAACAATATATGATGATGACAATGCTGATATCATTTAATATCACTATCATTACTAGGGGTATACCAATACTGCCCTAATACCAGATACTATTACCCAGATACCATACAAATTCAGAATTGAATGTAATGAAATTACTTTTTTTTTACAAAGTAGAGGAGTAGAAAACTTCTCACTCTTGTTAGCAAGCTTAACATCTTTTTCTTCCCCTAACTTACCTAAGTCTGATCCCTACCTGTTTCCCCTCAAACACAACCTGCTAATAGATTAACAACCAGAACCCCAATTACTGCCAGGTGAACAGGGGCATTATTGAAGTTATTGAAAAAATGTGAAGATTACAACGAAATTATGAAAACAAATCATGCTGTCATCAAATTTATATATTTTTTATAATTTATATTATTATTATATTATATTATATTATTATTTTTTATATTTATATTATTTATAATAATCAAATTAAATATATTTATATATTTATATATATCAAATCAAATTTATATATCAAGGATATATAAATATGGCATCTGTGGGTAAATCACATCATCTCATCCAGCTTAGTGGAAAGGGTTACAGAGGCACATAATGGGCTCAGGGACTGAACCCATTATGTGCCTCTGTAACCCTTTCCACTACCGCCCACAAGATGGGTATGGGGTGCATAATAAATGAACTAAACTAAAAAAACTTTCACCCACAATCACCAACTTATTGCTGTCACAAAATATTGTTACTGTATAGCACATTACTATAGCTGCAGACTAGGAGTCGCAATAACGTGGCATAAATATGTTGACCAAACCACACACTAGAAAGTAAAGGAATAATGACGTTTCGGTCCGTCCTGGACCATTCTCAAGTCGATTCTCACAATCGACTTGAGAATGGTCCAGGACGGACCGAAACGTCGTCGTCCCTTTACTTTCTGGTGTGTGGTTTGATCAACCTTACTATAGTTGTTATATTGAACGCATATTTTACTACATTGTACCTAGAAATAATCCTCAAATTATGCTACAATGTACCTGTTGATAATCCTCAAAGTTTACTATAATGTACCTACTAATATTCATCAAATTTTCTTAAAATGAACCTGTTAACATTTATCAATTTTGCTAGAAATTGCCCAATTAAAATTATCTGTTAGATTAGGGTCCTGCCCAAAAGGCTATGCATGTGTTAGTGACTTTACAAGAATGAAAAAACATCAATACTCTTTTAAACCCAATGTACCTTCTTGTATAATTATTTATATATAAAAATATGCAAATAGTTTTTATTTACTTAAGTTCATTCAGTGGAGACCAAATTCTCACAAATAGTTTAATTATCACTGATATCATCCGATAATACATAACTATCCAGTTTGAAGAGGAAGTGTAGTCATGAGGGAAGGTTGAGTGGTAAGATGGGAGTGTGAGTGACATGTCCCCTTTACAGAGGTTATGTGGCAACAGAAGGTTACAGAGATTTTTCAAAACATGACCATTTTATCCCAAGAGACCTCTAGTGGTTAGAGACACAACCATACATCAGGAGTATGGTTGTGTCATGCGGCAACTTCATAGTCAGTTGCCTACATATCTGAACATTCAAGGTCAAGGTCTGCAGGAAATATTGCCGAAATAAAAGTGGATGTGTTCAAGAAACAGTTGCACAAGCTACTTGCAGTCTCCGTGGTGTAGTGGTAAGACACTCGCCTGGCGTTCCGCGAGCGCTATGTCATGGGTTCGTATCCTGGCCGGGGAGGATTTACTGGGCGCAATTCCTTAACTGTAGCCTCTGTTTAACGCAACAGTAAAATGTGTACTTGGATGAAAAAACGATTCTTCGCGGCATGGGATCGTATTCCAGGGACCTGCCCGAAACGCTACGCGTACTAGTGCCTGTACATGAATGTAATGTAATGTATGTAACTTGGGGACTAGGATAACTCTCAGAACTGACTCCAGTGTATATGCATACACTGCAGAAACCAAGTAACCATACACAACCATGGTATACAACGCAGGGGTTAAGTGAAAAACTAGCCAAACCCTTGGAATAATTAAGGATACCATTAACTTTAAAGAAAAGAGTTTGGATTACGCTCCCATTTGGATTACTGTATTCAAGAATAAAGACCTCATTTTCAGTAGGACATAGCTGCTCTGGAGAAATTGCAACACCGGCCAACAAAACTCCTTCCAGAGCTTAGTCATCTTGTATCAGGAACGGTTGAGGGGCCACAAGCTTAACAACACTGCAAACCGGGCATCACAGGGCGGATCTCATTGAGGCTTTTAAAATACTGAACAAGTTAGAGGATGTTGATCCTGACAATTTCTTCAAAAGGTCAACAAGCAACGGTTTCAAGCTCAACAAACTTCAATGTAGGACTGAGAACTGATGCTTTTTCACCCACAGGGTGAAAAAGTGGCTGGAAAGACCACTGGAAACGCCTACCCGCCTACCCTACCACTTTAAACGCCAAAACTCTGTTAGGTTTAAAACTCCACCTGGATCATCAAGGCAAATGTAGGACTTTCGACAAGCCGCCAGCTTCCTGTCCTCGTCGAGGCCACTAGTGTTAAGTCGCCCTCATGTAAATCGGGTAAATATCGAGATGATACATAATTTTGACTTGAGAGTACAGTACGTGTATCTGCATGTTACCTTTTTTTTTTACTACTGTATATACAAAAGAAATTTTGGGTAGTTTATACGCGTACTAATCTTTCCTATAAATAACATTTTGAGGTTCTGATTAGCCTATACAAATATCGACTATAATGGTCAGAATGGAACAGAATTATAATAGCCAATACTCATGAACAGAAGATAAAAATAATCATTCTGAATGAACATGATTGTAGAAAAGTTGGTTATGTTTAATATTGGACAAACTTCTTGAGCCTAAGACAACAGAAACAAAACTGCACCCATCCGGTGAAGCAGTTTACCTTGCTAGCAGTCAGAGAAACTTTTCCATATACAAAGAATTTGCAAACCCTCATGGATACTTTCCATGTACAATACAGCAGTTACATACCTTCGCCAATTAAATGACAAGGAAGCTTGATAAAATGGTCTTTAGGGCACTTGGTGGTCGAGGTAACAAGCTCGGTGCATTTGGTAGTACACACATCCATACAGCGTTGTCTACAGGGATGCCCACATGGTAATGTTTTGGGACACTTTCCCGGACACTTGCTAGCTGTTGCTGGTAATCCACATTCCATCTGAAAAATTAATAAGTATTTTATGACATGCTAAAATAAATTAGAACAATACTGTTAATGCCACTATCAAACTTATCACAAGTCTAAATAAACCTTTTAGATTTTGCTCTCTCATATCTAAACTTGATTGACGATGCTCTATTGAAGGGATTACAAGCAACCTAATTCTGATGGAAATTAAGGCATCAGTATAATAAAATTCTGCTTTCAGAGTTGTCACTTGGTCACTCCCTAAGATAACATAGCATCCTGATGCCCCACACGGTACAGATTTTTGTTGAAGACTTTCAAATTGAATCATTTGGCAGTTAGGCAACACTCTTCAACGAAGTTTAGACATATTATTTATAAGTTTATGTATGATAACTCAATTGCTAACAGAAAGCAGTCCTGGACGACATGCATATTTAATAACACTTATTAGCACTGAATGGTCGTCTCACGACCACAATCTCAAAGCTCTTCAACGCCTTGTTAACATATTCACAAAATTCAACCTGGAACTAGTATGTCTTTCTAAATATAACTTTCCTTTATAACTTAGACTTGTTTATCAAAACATTTACACTTTACTTACTACTTAAACATTACTTTTTGCCACTACACACAGAAATCCCAATAGCGTGATGCATCAAATGAACAAATCCACAAGAGCCGTAGGTTCTCTTGGACGTAGGTTCGAACCCTCGTCACGGCCCTTGTGGATTTGTTCATTGCTTTCTGCCGTTTCAGCATATCTGCTTGCTGCCATAATAAATCAAAAACTTTTATATATGGAATTATTCAGTTTATTTTTTATTTAAATCTATATATTAAAAAGGCTATCAGAGCTGGATTTCCCAGCTTAATAGTGTGAAGGTTAAGCCTATAAATATGGTTTCCAAATGCCACGAACAGGAAGCCTGTGAATAGACTTATCAAGGTCAACTAGACACTGGCTGACGAGTGGATGAAGGATGATTAGGATGAAGCCCATGACAGTCAACTAACTCCCAGGTACCTAATTACTAGGTAAACAGAGTCATTAGGTGTAAAAAAAAATTTGAATAATGGGCAGGAATCAAACTGCGACTAGTCAGTTGTGAGCAGACTGCGTAGACCAATAATTTACCATGTCTGTCCGTTATTAGTCAGTTAAGGATAACTAGAACAATAAAACCAGAGTTGAATGTAATGAAACGGCATTTTCTGGGTGAGCCCGGGAGGCTTCTCTTGAGATGATTTCGGGGCTTTAGTGTCCCCGCGGCCCGGTCCTCGACCAGACCTCCACCCCCAGGAAGCAGCCCGTGACAGCTGACTAACTCCCAGGTACCTATTTTCTGCTAGGTAACAGGGGCATTCAGGGTGAAAGAAACTTTGACCATTTGTTTCTGCCTCGTGCGGGAATCGAACCCGCGCCACAGAATTACGAGTCCTGCGCACTATCCACCAGGCTACGAGGCTTGCTGGAACTATAGGGGCTAATGTGTGATATATTAGACCGGGGCATTAACTATAGATTTCGACCTATCAAGGACCACGAGCCACAACCTGGCCCCTTCAGAGAGGTTGCAGGGAGCAATGGCCCTGGAAACCCCCATCCCCCTGTGGTTGGGGTTTTTCCTTATCTGCCATCGACTGGGGTTAGGCATCCAGAAAGGTAGGCATAACAAAACAAACCCCACATGGTAAGAAACTAACAACTAAAACCGAACAACTCCCTCCAATCCCCAACCTGAACGGGGCAGCCCCGCAAAACCACCAGAGTCTCAGCACCAACTGAACTCCGCCCCCAGCTCCGAAACCTGCTGACGGTACAAGCTGGGAAAAGGGAGGGGAAAAAAGAAGGGCGAACAGCGCCTAACCAAAATGGGGCAGCCCCGGGGCATCCAGGTGGGAAACCAACCTAGCACGTTGCCGCAACCTAAATCTAGCATGCAATGTGGAAGCTGCCTGTACTCTAACAGTAATGACATCAGAATAGTACTGGAGAACAAGCAGAGAACACGACTCGCAAAACTCCGGGTCAAGGTGTCGTTGACCCAACAGGCAGCACGATGGAGGAAAAAGAGGTGACCGTCACCCTGAGACAAGGGCACACAGACACCATTGAACCTGCACAAGGCGGGCTGGAACCCGGAAGACACATCTAGGGGTACATCGAGCCCCGACAGGGTTTTTTTAGGACCTGTAGGCTAGCTGATTCGGGAAGCCCAGGCAAGGTGTTGCTAACTAGTTAATACCCAAAGCTAACAAGGGGGAGAGCAAAACACTGAAACCCCTGCGACGTGCACAATCACGGGGGCCTAACAGAGGGCCACCAAAATATTATAAGCGGAACGACAGCCACACCAGGCAAGAAAAAGAAAAACAAAAGAAAAACCCCGTAAAAGTATAACGTCCCAAGAGGAAACAGGAACCGGCCGCCGCATAGGTAGGCAGGCTGCACAACAACTTGATGCCCTTACCAGCACAATACCACTCTCTACCCATGGCCAAACAAGGGCCACGAAATCCCAGCTGGCCCCAAGGGCAGGATAAATACCGAGCAGCAAGAACCCCTGTCGGAAATGGTGTCCCGAACGCACCAGGGAAGATAACCCTAACACGCAAGGGCAGTACTCACAGGGCGCCTAGGGAAGGAAGCCTCTAAGCGCATGCAGCCCCGGAAGTGATGAGGAACACCTGGCCACCACACACAACAACACTGCAGAGGTCGCCACGAAGGAAAACACTGCTTTGGAAACCGAGGCCAGAGAAGTGTCTGCCCCGTACCACATTAGCTAACGAACTGCATGACTGAGTAGCCGGTGCTGGAAGGTCTGGGGCTCCTCCCTCCCCCTCTCTGGGAAGGGAGGGCTGCGTAGACAAGCAGCTCGGCAGTGGAGTGTGGCGTTTGCTTGTTTTCTTGGGATTGGAGGGAGTGAGAACTCCCTCCCTAGAAGGTGAAGGGACGACGACGTTTCGGTCGTCGAATGCTGTTAATTCTCAGTGCGTTTGCACAGATAGGTGAGAAACATGACATTTTTGTGTGCGAGTACATTTCAAGCGAAACTTTAACTTTAGAATGGGGAAATAAATTTGGATTATTTAAATTATTGAAACCAGTTATTGCACAATTAAACGCATAACTAAGAAATACAAATTAAATGTATCAATCCATAATAATACATGTGTAACTTATCTAATAACAATTAACAATACTAAATAATTACGAGTGAGAAATAAGTGATAATATACAAAATTGCAATTGGGAAATAATTGATAATGTACAAAACCGCAATTGAGAAATAATTGATAATGTAACAAAATGCAATTAGGAAATAATTGATAATGTACAAAAATACAGTTTGGAAATAATTGATAATGTACAAGAATGCAATTAGGAAATAATTGATTATGTAAAAAAAATTAAAATTGGGAAATAATTGGTAATGTTTAAAATTGCAGTTGGGAAATAATTGACAAGGTAAACAACTGGCAATGATGTGTACTGGCCAATGCACGATGGACGGCGGGGAGGCGGGAATTTTGTACTTAAATATTACTTTGGTAAAGAACTGTGAAATTAATTACAAAGTTGATAACGAGGCCCCGCTTGTACTTGAACGGCCCCGCCGTTCAATTCTGGTCACCATCTTACAGGATTTCAGCCCTCGAGGATATCTAACGTAAAATGACCGTACTAATCCCTGGTGATTGATGGGCCCTTCCATACGAGGAGGGATTAAAATCCTGCATTTCCCAGAGTGGCGGAAGGAAGACGATAGTCGAGGTTTTCAAGTAGATGATGGATATCAGGGGGGAAATATGAGCAAGGTTAAGACTGCTCATAGCGATAAGACCTACCATTAATGTATGATGACTTACTGCAAATGTATATATCTTGAAATAGCATTTTCTCTGTAACTAGCTGACATTGTAACTATAAGGTGTGAAGGATAGATGAAATTGTTTATATAATAATCTAAGATGATTATTAATCGTGTAGTACTAAGTATGTGGCTAAAAATAAAATCCATACCAGAAGAGGAAGCATTGTTTTGTTTTGGTGCGGTAACCGGGCGACTGATGACGTCACTGTCGACAAACACGGCTGGTGACGTCACTATTGGCAAGCACAGCGGGTGGCGTCACAATGTTTACAAACGCGATCGGTGGCACCACTATTGACAAACACGATGTGATAAACACTTACTTTTGGGGTTGCATGCAAGATGTAATCAAAAGAAATAGCCTAGTCCAAATGAGACATCTCCCAATAAATTTGGTGAGCATTTTCTGACAGATGAACAGAGCATTAGACAATTGGCCATTGTCTAATGCTCTGTTCATCTGTCAGAAAATGCTCACCAAATTGATTGGGAGATGGCTTCTTCAATAACGAACTGTAAAAGCACTTATAACAGGAACATAATTGAATCTACTTTGATACAGATTACAAAAGAAAGTAATTTGAACATTAGCAGTGGTTTATATAACTTAGATCCATTTTAATAGATCAATTAAAGATCAAAAGACCTTTTGTGCCCTCTGTAATGCTTTTTGTGCTACCGCTCACAGGATGAGTATGGGGTGCACAATAAACTAAATAGCTGAGTTAAAAGAGCATCGGCCTCGCGTGGTAGGGTCCACGGTTCGAGACCCATTCAGTCCAAGTGAATGAAATGTTTATTTCCACGAAAGTGTAGATGGCAATTTATGTATGAGCTATCAGACCAGGCGAGAATCATAACGTTGGCGATTAGCTGGAGAAGTTATTCAAATTCGGGACGGACATGGAAAAGTATTGGGTGGTATACGATTAGAATAAGTAACCGACCAATATCACTGGGTTAAATGGCTTTGTAAAGAGGCTTAACGGAATTAGTGGTGACCTAATTCCATCACTAATATGGCTATTAAGAGGTCGTCAGATCGTGACTTGACAGGTCGTGACCTTCACATCCTAACGCTGCAAAGCCCTGATAACATCTTACCTCCTCCCCCTATCTTAGAAAGCTAATCTCAGCGCTTTTAAACACGTACAATATACGCGCACAAACCATCTGATTATTTATACTGAAGTTTACGGGCTCACCATAGCCCGTGCTACATGGACACTTCGTCCTGAGTAGCTAAATGTTTAACAACAACAATGATACTGATGCAGAGAGAGGATGGGAAGTTTTATATTGTAATAATCAAAATAATTCAGCTTTGGCAATATCTTACTGGGCCATATTCAGGGTGTACAGTTCTGGGGAATGACCATCGCCTTGAAGGTGGACAAGGAAAGATAACATTGTTGACCCTTGGCATCGCGAGTTATTGAAACTAGGACAGTCTACTTTACACACTCTAGAAAGGAGGGACATAAATGTTAGATGTGATATAGTTAAATATAATATAATAAAATGGGATATTTAGGTAAATGAATGGGTGTAACGTGAGGATTCGTAGGATTATTGTCATCATTATCATCAACGTTACGTCGGCGTCATTTGCCCCCCCCAAGATTGGGAGTCTCGGCGTTGAATGTAGACAGAATCTGCCGTCTGCAGATTCCTATATAAATATTACACATCAGCGAGAAATGTTGGAGGTCGAGCGTAGGAGGTGATTAATATGTTGAAAGCATACTGAGGATGCTGCTACATCATCATCAAGGATGATGAAGGCATCATCATCTTGCTCATGATGCTGACACAGGATGATACACAGCTCAGACCCCAAATATAATTACCAAATATACAGGTCCAGGTGAAAGTCATGTACTCTACAATGTACATATATATGGCTGATATATTAAACTTTCCAGTGTTCATCTCCAACTACTTACAGGCGGGACCAAAGGGCTGAAGCTTAACCCCTACAAATACAACAAGGTGAGTAAAATAGCCTTTATTTTGTATTTTTATTAAAGTATTACTATTACGAACTAAAAGTACATTAGTAATGTATTATTTATTTTACAGTAACAAAGAATTCGTTGAAAAATATAATAAATTACAGTTTGAAATGCGTTTATTATTCAGACTACAACAGCTAACGAATTAGTTTTGCTGATAATGTCATGTCAGTAGATGGTAAGTCACTGCCTTTCTTAAGCCAAGAATCGCCAACATATTTATGGATCTTCTTTACTGAGATGCGTTTCTTGGGATTGGGTTCCAGCAACCGTTTCAGAAGGCACAAAAATCTAGGAGTAAAATGCTTGAAGATTGACGGTAAGGTGAACGCTTTACGCCAGGTCCACGCCAGCCAGGAGCTGTAGACTGTATCTGTAATGTCGGCGGCGCACCAGGGATACGATCCTGTCAAGCAAACAATGAGGAGGATAGTCAGATGCCAGGCATCCAGTGAAGGGTGGGCATGGTAAGTTTCCTCGTACGGTGGTGAGACACGCCTCACCTCCGGGGGCGCCCACGAATCTTGCAAACATAAACTTTTCACCACACTCCCTTTCTGCGTCGTTCGCCCAAAGTCGTTTAACTTAACACGGCATGTTTCTGCATGAAACACGAGAATGTTTTCTAAGCACACATTACAGTGGACCAAGCCCTTATCGTCCATGTACTCGAGGGCGAAGGAAAGCTGCTCTGCAATATACCAGACCTGTCGCTCTTCAAGGGCACCACGGGCGAGCAGCTCTGACAGGTCCCCTGCAGCAGCTAATTCTTGAGCGAATACATAATATCCACAGATTTCAAAGACGTCACCAAAACACATCGTAATATTGGGGTGAGGATTAAGCATTTTGTTGTAGTAAAACTCCCGTTGGAATTCATCCTTCTTCGTGGCTTCCTTTCGTGCACATTTGAGGACCATTTTGCCATTAGTATGTTTGTCGGTGGTAAGGAATATGTTTGTGAAGTTTCCAGAGGCCAGGAAGATCAAGTCAGAGAACTCTTCGAACATTTCAGAGGGCGAGAACTTCGGTATATAGTCCTCGAAGAAATTCTTGCTAGTAGCCATCTTATCTGAAAATAAGACATCATATAATAAACCATCATCTGTTGCATTAACTCTGGCCATAACAGATAATATACAAACAAAAAAGCGCGTTGTATCGATCTTTACTACTCAATTGGGATTATATATTGCAGAAATATTGGGACCTCATTTTGGAAAGTCATAAAGGCCAGTGGTCTTAAGAAAATTTTGACAGCTTCCTATCCTAAGGATTTCTAACTCATTTGCCGTGTTGGAGGACGAGTGATGTGGTGAGCCTGCAGGGCGTTCGAAGGGGAAAGCAACAAAGAGCAGGTCCAAGTGCTCAAAAAGTATAGGAAGTACTTAAGCGAATTTTGGTTGTGGGAGATTCCCAGGTGAGGTATTTGGATAGAACTTTTTGTGCCAGAGATAGGGGGGAACAGGTTAAGGGTTTGCTATCCAGGAGCTGGAATTGATGATGTTGTTAATAATATCATCAATTCCAGCTAAATGATATTATGACAATGCCGTGTTAAATTATGATGTTATGATATTATGACAATGATATTGTCATAATAATATGATATTATGACAACGATATTGTCATAATAATATGATATTATGACAATGATATTGTCATAATATCATTCATATGATATTATGACAATATGAATGATATTGTCATTCCCATGTGGAAATGGGAACAAACTCATTATTTGTAACATTTTAATATAATATAACAGTTTAAACTGTTAGTAGACAGTGGTATGGGAATGGATATGGAGAAAGGAGGTAATAAAAGTATGGGTTTGTGGGGGGAAACAAATTAGCAAAATGATCAGGGAAAGAGAAGGGCCTCAAAATAACAATACATTTAGGATATATTACACTAACAGCAGAAGTCTAAAAAATAAACGATTTAAATGTTCGTCTGCACAGAAAAAAAATTATTACACTTACCGAAACGTGGATGAATGTAGAAAATTGAGAACTATTAGCTGAAAATGGATTTAAACTATTTCACACAGATAGATATATAAGACGAGGAGGGGGAGTAGCCATTTATATTAGGGAAAATTCAAAATATAGTCTCAAAGAGGGAATCAAAACTGAGCCACACAAACTATTTGAATAGAATTAAACGAAAAAGCATTTAAATAGAATTAAACGAAAAAGCAAATAATCTTACAATAGGAGTTATATACAGGCCACCAAACTTACAGGATAGAAGCAAAGCATCTATGGGATGAAATATCTAGAGCATCTAAGTCTAGCAGTATTTGTCATGGGGTGACTTTAACTTTAGAGGAATATGCAGGCGGTGAGTCACAATAACGTGGCTGAAGAATGTTGACCAGACCACACACTAGAAGGTGAAGGGACGACGACGTTTCGGTCCGTCCTGGACCATTCTCAAGTCTGATTGCCTTGATTTAGTGAAATAAATTGGTTTAACAGACAGGGAATAATGAAGCAGAAGATTTTCTAGAATTAATTGACGATTGCTCTCTTACTCAACACATTAAGGAACCAACAGCAGAAGGCACATTGGACCTCACGAGGCACCTATCCACATCCACCCAAGCTGATGTTTTGGGTAATCTTGAGATGATATCTGTGCTCACCGTCCCCCGCGGCCCGGTCCTTGACCAGGCCTCCTTTTTGTTACACCTCCCCCCCTCCCCTTGAAGCAGCCCGTAGTAGCTGCCTAACTCCCAGATACCTATTTACTGCTAGGTAACCGTTACATCAGGATGAAAGAAACGTTTTCCCATTTACCTCCATCGGGGATCGAACCCGGAACCTCAGGAATACGAATCGCTGGATTCTGATCCAAAAATTTGTATTCTGAGAACGATATACTGGGAATATATACCTGCATAAATTAATAATTACAAATATGCATTGAAACCCTTGATTGTTTCAAGGGTTGCTTAGACATAAATATTAATGAAATTGGGATATATGACCATTCTCAATCGACTTGAGAATGGTTCAGGGCGGACTGAAACGTCGTCGTCCAGTCACTTTATAGCGTGTGGTTTGGTCAAAATATAACATAAGATTTATAATGTTGACATTCCTTCTGTTTATGAGATTATAAAAACAGCTTCTGTGTATAATGAGATTATAAACAGAAGCTGCCTCGTATGGGTCAATAGGCCTTCAGCAGTTACCTTCATCCTAAACTCTACATGTCTAACCTACGCTTGAAATAATCCAGTCATTCAAGGAATTAGAATCAGGTGTCAAGATAGAAGTGAACAAGTGGATACATGGACAAAGACGGTATGAATATTAATAAGGTATTAAATCAGCACAAAATACAAGACGAAGCAATAGAGACTAACTGTAACTGGCTTTAAGTTTATGCAGACGATGAGTCACAATAACGCGGCTGAAGATATGATGGCTAAGCCACACATGAGAAACTGGAGAAGCGACAAGTCCGTCCTGGACTGTTATAAAGACATTTCATTATCTAGTGGATAAGTTTAGTTAAAGGGTCTAATGTGTTGATCAAAACACACACTAGAAAGTGAAGGGACGACGCCGTTTTCGGTCCCTTCTAAAGTTAATTAAACTTAGTGGATAAGTTTAGTTAAGAGGAGAGATCTGGGTAAATTCTAGTTAATAAAGATACACACACATGACTTGAGAATGGTCCAGGACGGACCATTCCGTCGTCGTCCCTTCACTTTCTAGTGTGTGTGCTTTAGTCAACACATATGACTTGATATGGTTAGGAATTTTACGCAAGTAATATGTATTATAAACAGTAATTCTTACCATACCAGAAGAAATGGTTGGGAGAGAAGACGCTGACTGTAGCAGGTAAGTATCCACGGGAGACGGAGACGACACGACCTCATCCAAGGTCACTCAGTAACTACTGGTTGCCCCTAAAGCCGCCCCGGGTATTTATGACCACCGGCGTCACCTCACTCAGGTCAGAGGCCTGGTCAAGGACCGGGCCGCGGGGACACTAAAGCCCCGAAATCAACTCAACATAACCTCAAGATAAGTTAGATCCTCGTGTCAGGGGAACATTACACCCTTCAGCATTACGGTAAACTAAGGCTCATTATCTGTTAAATATCATTCCAGTTTCAAAATATAAATGCATAATAAGGCTTAATAAAATCTTATTAAGAGGCTTAAAAAAGAGAAACAATACCAATAAAAATACTAGAAACCTGCATATGAAGAAAGATTAACAGAACTTACATTCTCTAGAAAGGTGAAGAATTAGGGGTGACAATGAGATTAGTGTGGATTTAAATATGAGCTGCCTCGTATGGGACAATAGGCCTTCTGCAGTCACCTTCATTCTTATGTTCTTAAACAACTAACGTTATTAGTGAATGGAACTAATCTTATTCTTCATCTTCATCTTGTTCTTGATAATAATAACATACGAATCAAAGAAAATGCAAATGCTTGTTGGCCCATACGAGGAACTTCCTTTTTATTTTCACTAAACTCATTTTCACTAAACTAAACTCAAACTTCACTAAACTATATAAATATGAAGTATTTATTTTAGATTCAGCTACTCAGAACAAAATGTTCCGAGTAGCACGGGCTATGGTGAGCCCGCAGTGGACTTACGCGGCACAGAAGCGGGGCTGTATATGTGGACTCTCTTGTCGCTTGAATCAATCAAGTGATCCGACGTTTATTATGTTAAATGATAACCTGTTCTACAAAGCAACAATCCTGTTTCCAAACCATTATTTACCCAGGTCTTTCTATTTCTTAAATTTAAACTTATCCAATTTATATTCATTGATTCGTGTTGACATATTAAACACATTATTCAAATTCCCACTGTTATACATCTTCATGCACTTGTACATTTTAGTCGTGTTAGGCGCCATTTAGATTATGCAGTTTTGGGCACCATACTATAAAATATGCATCAACTGTAATGTTCTGAGACTAAGTAACGATGATAGAGTTACAGGATATTAGCTGCATGTTGTTGAAATTGGGGAGTCTGATTCGGAAAATGATCTGACGGTCATGACTGGTAAGAATTTAAAGTTAAAAAATCCATACATAATGGGTATAAACACGAAACAATGGGTATAAATGGATAAATTTAAATTTAGGAAATACTTGGGCAAATACTGGTTCGGAAACAGGGCTGTTAATTGGTGGAACCATTTAAGAACATAAGATCAAAGGTAACTGCAGAAAGCCTATTGGCCCATACGAGGCAGCTCCTATTTATAACCCCCCAATCCCACTCATATACATGTCCAACCCACGCTTGAAACAATCGAGGGACCCCATCTCCACCACGTTACGCGGTAATTGGTTCCACAAATCAACAACCCTGTTACCGAACCAGTATTTACCCAAGTTGTTCCTAAATCTAAACTTATCCAATTTATACCCATTGTTTCGTGTTCTGTCTTGTGTTGATACTTTTAATACCCTATTAATATCCCCTTTGTTATGTCCATTCATCCACTTGTAAACCTCTATCATGTCACCCCTAACTCTTCGCCTTTCCAGTGAATGCAAGTTAAGCTTTGTTAATCTTTCTTCATATGAAAGATTTCTAATTTGGGGAATTAACTTTGTCATCCTACGCTGGTAAATAAATACTGGTTCAGTAACAGGGTTGTTGATTTGTGGAACCACTTACCGCGTAACATGATAGAAGTAGGATCCCTTGATTGTTGACCAGACCATTCTCAAGTCGATACCGACTTGAGAATGGTCCAGGACGGACCGAAACGTCGTCGTCCCTTCACCTTCTAGTGTGTGGTCTGGTCAACATACTTTAGCCACGTTATAGTGACTCATCGCCTGCATAAGAATACCTTGACTGTTTCAAGCGTAGGTTACACACACACACACACACATATAATATATATATATATATATATATATATATATATATATATATATATATATATATATATATATATATATATATATATATATATATATATATATATATATATATATATGAATATGATTTTCATATTCATATATATATATATGAATATGAAAATTTTCATTCGCAT